CGTTGACAATCAGCTGTAGACGAAAGACTTGATGCATGGCCAATGGCTGATTGTCAACGAAACGGAGTTAAGTCTTTTGTCAATTCTGCTTATTGCTACGGCAGGCAGCCAGTGAAAATGAATTCGTGTGATAAATTATGGAAATGCAAGCACTACTTCAAACAAACAGAACTTTATCATTCCTTGCTCATTTTTTCTAATTGAGGTGTCATGAAAGGGCAGAAACTCAACTTTTTAGAAATGTAATTTTTCCTTTGAAATTCAAATACCGTCCGCCAAATGACTTTTTGGTTTCCTCTCTTCAAATTCATTTTAATCACTCATGCGGGAAATGTGAATCATATGAGTTGAATCAAAATGAAAGAGGAGGATCTAAGCTTTCCAAATAAATGTGTTATTTATTAATTATAAATGTGTTTAAGTTATGATAAAACATCAATATTTCTCGGTTTCGTTTTTTCTGGGACGCACTGTATAAGCATTAAGCTAGTCCACAGTCATGTTCGATGGCGAGAATTTCTATATTTTCAGAGATCGTATTCTTGAGGAAATCTCACTGACATCGAGAGATTTAAGATGCAATGTTGTAAAACAGCCAATTACACATGAGAAAAACCCTTAGTTTTACCTCAAATTATCAATATAACTCATCGTGTTATGTTCCAAACCATAGTCTTCATAAAGTTTGTCGTTAAAGCCAAAGTCCACTCCAAAAATAACTTACTTTCAATAGAACCAGAAAAATCAGAAAAACCAATCAAAAAAGTTTGAGCAAAATCGGATAACTAATAAGAAAGTTATACATTTTTAATGACATGAAAAACTTTGAAAATCACTACACAAATTGGCAACTCACTCATGAGTCTGTGACGTATGGTCCTCACTATCCACTAATTATTTTCTGTATATTAATAATATAAATTTCCTTTTTTCACCCTTAGAATCCTATTTCTTCACATCAGCATCCAAGTTAGATTGTTAGTAATATGTGTTTGTGTGGATGCACAAATAAAGAGTAATTTTTGTCCAGTTAAATCATGAAAAAAATGAATTTTGATACAAATCATATAACCTGTGCAAAGGCATGGGGAAATCAAGTTTTGGGGGATAAAAAGGGAAATTAATGGGATTAAAGTATGTAAAGCAATTGATAAGTTGTCAGGACATGACGTCACAAACTGATAACCATCTTGGCATTTTTGTTGTGACTCTCATTGCTCCATAGTTTTACATACTTTTTCAAAAATTCATAACTTTCTTATTAGTTATCCGATTTTGCTCAATTTTTTTTTTTATTGGTTTGTCTGATTTTTCTGCTTTTATTGAAAGTAAGTTATTTTTCGAGTGGACTTGTCCTTTAAAGAGGTTTCATGGACAAAGTTTTTTGGTTATAATAATAATAATACATGAGATTTATATAGCGCTATTATCCATTTTAATTAAATGCTCAAGGCGTTTCAGAATATTAGTGAACACATTACATCGTGACAAAGAATCGTGTACATTTACATAAGAAAGAAAATGCAACAATGAAAGAATGAATGAATGAATGTCTGTCTTCAAAACGCGAAATTTAACAAATGGGATTTAAGGTTGCTCTTAAAAGACGTTGAAGAGTCGGAGTTCTTCAGCTCCTGTGGAAGTGAATTCCACAGGGCTGGTCCGGCATGAGCAAAAGCTCGTTCCCCGAGATTTCTTTGAAAGCGGTATGTGTATGTGTAGAGACCAGAGGATCGAAGGGTACGTGTGGGTTGGTAGAAGTGAACCAACGTATTTTGGTTGTATTCGGGAGCTGTTCTGTTCATTTGATGAACTAAAGAAGGATTTAAAAGTTATCTTGAAAAGATTCACTTCTCCGTAAATATTTACACTTACACTTACCGGCGCACACTAAACGATTCTACTGCGATCCGATTCTTGAAGAAATTGCAATTATATTAGTTATGGAAAAATAAACAAAGAACGTTTTGCTGATTTAGATTGTAATTAATGATCATATGAATACTAACAGCAATAATTTTGGTGCCTTTAATTAATTCCGAATCGGCTTCAAATCGTGGACAATCGTATTACTGGTATGACCATGACTGCACTGACATTCTGAGCCGATTTACCTTTTCCTTCGTCAAGGAAGCCTTGAAAGCCCCTAAAAGTTATATTTTATAAATTACATGAATAATCAGATTCTCAATCAATGAGATTGTAAATGTTGGAATTTTTATATACAATGTTGTCAATTCTTCCAAAATCGGATCGCAGTCCGCAGATCGCGTAGTGTGCGCTTAATAAGAATCAGTAAGTAAAAACCGCTAAAATGTGCTAAAGCTCTCCTATTTAGCAAATATGAAATTATACAGTTGCAATCATGGTGATAGTAGTCCTAATATTGAAAATAGGAAGAAACTACCGATACAAGTACTATAAAACAAAATTATTCAATAAAGTCATCATGGCACGAGAATACACATTAAGTCTATGATTGCCAATTATCTAACAGATTTTCTAACATATTTTAATGTCGATGAATACCAACAACAACATCAATATCAACAATAATAATAGTGATGGTGATGATGGTGATGATGATAACAACAATAATAATAATAATGATAATAATACTAACAGTAAAAATAATGATGATAATAATAACAATAATAATAATAACAATGAAAATATTAATAATGATGATGATGGTGAATGAGAACATTAAGAAGACAATTTATTATTTGAGGATAATAGTATAATATTAACAATATCGGTAGCGCGATTATGCTTACTACCTTCACCACCACAACTACTAATACTACTAGTAGTAGTACTACTACTACTTCTACTACTACTACAACTACTACTACTACTACTACTACAACCACTTTCATTACTGATAACCATCACACGTTTCAGGCGCGGATCCAGGGGGGGCCGAGCGGGCCTTGCCCCCCCCCCCCGCCAAAAAAAAAAAAAAAAAAAAAAAAAAAAAAGAGAGAAGAAAGGAAAAGAAGGGAAAGGGAAAGAGGAGAGAAAGGGAAAGAAAGAAGAGGAAGAAGAAAAGAAAAGGGGGAAGAAGGAGATCGGGGGCGGGAGCGAAAGGACCTTGCCTACCAGGCTGTTGACCCCCCCCCCCCCCCCCAATCAAAAATAAGAGAGAAGGAAGGAAAGGGAAAGAAAAAAGGAAAAGGGGAGATACTGGCGTATTGATAGGGGGGGGGGGGCTTGGGGGAAATCAAATTCAAACGTGGTTTATTTCTAATTCCACAACGGTGGATTACAAATAATGCTGAAATGACATAATTTCCGAGATTTTTCCTCACTTTTTAGTAAATTATACGTTTGTATGTGTTTGTCGGAAAATGAAAAATTCCTAAATTTACAGCCAGGCAATAAATATGATTCTTGAGATTCCAACATGTCAGGCCCCCCCCCCCCCCCCACTTTTTTGAAAAAGTATATTAAAGAGAAATAAAATAGATTGAGAGCAAGAAAGAAAGAATAGTTAACTGCCAGTGTTAATAAATAATGAGGCATCAAAATATGCTCATCTGACCGTGATTAATGCCTAAAACCCCTAAGCTTCCGGGGGCTCTGCCCCCTGGATTCCACCTTAGATGCTCATCTGACGGTAATTTAATGCCTAAAACCCCTGATTTTTGGCGGCTCCGCCCCCTGGACCCCACGCCAAATAGTGACCTGCCAGTGTCACAAAATAATAAGGTATACAAAAAAATGCTCATCTGACCTTAATTAAACGCCTAAAACCCCTGAGCTTCCGGTGTATAGAGAACGGTACAACGCATCATCTTCTTTCTCTAATAATGAAACGTCAAAGCGTCGCGCAGAAGGGGAGGGGGGAGGGGACTGAATTCAGACAAGGATTAAGAATCGAGAACGGTACAACGAATCGTCTTCTTTCTCTCATAATCTTATGAAACGCCAAAGCTTCCGCACTTCGCGCGGGAGGGGGGAACCTGAATTCAGACGAGGATTCAGAGGCGAGAACGGTAATACGAATCTTTAATGACTTAATGAAACGTAAAAGCTTCTGCGCTTCGCGCAGGATGGAGAGGGAACTAAATTCCGATGACGATTATTTTTGAGAACGGTACAACGAATCGTCTTCTTTATCTAATGATTTAATGAAAATTAGAAGCTTCCGCGCTTCGCGCGAGAGGGGGGAACCTCAATCCAGACGAGGATTAAGAGTCGAGAACTGTACAACGAATCGTCTTCTTTCTTTTATAGTTTAATGAAACGTCAAAGCTTCCGCACTTCGCGCAGGAGGGGGAGGGGGGAGACTGAATTTAGACAATGATTAAGTGTCGAGAACGTTACAACGAATCGTCTTCTTTCTCTAATGATTAAATGAATCGTAAAAGCTTCCACGCTTCGCGCGGAAGGGGAAAAACTGAAGTCAGACGAGGATTAAGAGTCGAGAACTGTACAACGAATCGTCTTGTTTGTCTAATGATTTAATGAAACGTAAAAGCTTCCGCGCTTCGCGCGGGAGGAGGGGGAGGGAAGAATCTAAATTCAGACGAGGATTATTTTCGAAAACGGTACAACATATCGTCTTCTTTCTCTAATGATTTGAGGAAATTTAAAAGCTTTCGCGCTTCGCGCAGGAGAGGGGGAACCTAAATTCAGACGAGGATTAAGAGTCGAGAACTCGACAACGAATCGTCTTCTTTCTCTAATAATTTAATAAATCGTAAAATTTTCCGAGCTTCGCGCGGGAGGGGAAAAACTAAAGTCACACGAGATTTATTTCGAGAATGGTACAACGAATCGTCTTCTTTCTCTAATAATTTAATGACACGTCAAAGCTTCCGCGATTCGCGGAGGAGGGAGGGGGAAATCGCCCCTCCCTGCACCGAGCCCCCCCCCCCGCATTACGTCACTGTTGGTCACTATTACGTACCAAAATTTGGCTCGCATAATTTCAAATTTGGGCCCCCCCCCTAAGAAATCCTGGATCCGCGCCTGCGTTTCTCTAGGTTCCTACATGACTGTTATGCTACTCGTTTGGGATCAAGTCATTTGTCCTTAGATTGATGGTAAGATTTTTGGTCAATTCATCCCAGAAATATTCTTGTCCTCTCACGTTCTCAGTCCAGTGGATATAGGGTCTGCCATCACTGAGATACAATCTCGCCAAGAATGGCATTTCATCATCTGGGATGTCTTCGAGGAAAACCACTACTACGAATTCAGTCAGAGTGTCACTCACATGGTCCATGGCCGTACGGAACTTGAGTATGAACCAGTGGTCGTGCACAGCAGCTCTGCTAAGCACTATGATGGTCTTGTAACTATGGCTCACCACGTAATCGACGGAATCTAAGTAATGCATACCCAATACAAGGTCTTCGTCACCGAAGACGTTCCTCTGAAACTGTTGTAGCCGTTCTTCGAGAGCCGGTCGGAGCTGTTCGCGAATCCATTCTTCGTCATCGTCGTAGAAAATGATGTTCACGTCAAACTCGTAGTCATTGTTGTCTCGAGCGTCTCGCATCTCTTTATAGCCAACTACGGCCAGTTTCAAGAGAAATAGTTTGTACCTCAACTGCCATCGGTAGTGATACACCAGCACGCTGATAACAACCAAGCTAATGGAAGCGAGGGGAATCAGAGAGAATATACCATAGTTTATTATACAGAGTTCATTTGGATCAAAATGAAGCAGGGGTTTCTCACGAAGAGGCTCCAGAGATGCTGACGAACAGATAGTATTTTCCTTGTCTATTAGGCGTATAGGTTTATTTAACCAATCAATAAGCCACTTTAGTTCACAGTTACAATCGATTGGGTTCATTGATAGATCAAGTGATGAAATGGAGGAAAAGATCGGCTTGAAAGTGCTTTGATTAAGGCGCGTTAGTCCGTTGTTGGCCAATGAAAGATCTGTGAGCTTCCAGTTATTTGAGAACATTAGCTCCTCCAAGTACGCGATACGGTTTCCTTCAAAGTTGATACTTTTTATTTGACCCAATCCCGACAGTATATCATCATGAATATGATGGATGTTGTTTCCTTTCAAACTCAACTTCTGAAGCGATTCCAACCCCGAGAAGACAAGAGGATGTAGATTTGTAATATCGCAGCGGTCTAGATTTAGCTCTTGTAAAACAGAGAGTTGCTGGAATATCCCTGGTGGTAAATCACTTATAAAACACAGGGAAGGGTTACTACTCAATTCCAAATTAATAAGATTCAATAACCCATCGAAAAGAGACACGTTTCTATTTTCATTCCATATGTTCCAAATGTCAAGCCCAGAGTCTTTCATGTCTAAATTAACAAGGGATTGTAAATGTTGAAACGAGGCTCCTGGTCGCAAAGGATTATATTCTGAACGAAGAGAGTTTATGGAAAGTGATCTTAATATTGGGGTGTACAATTCCAGAACAGTTATACGGCTTTCGGTCAAATAAATGGTTTGAATATTGTCAAGTCCCGAAAAGGCCGTCAGCTCTAAGAAAGAAAGGTATTTGTTCGAGCTCATGTCTAAGAAAGTTAAATTTCCTAAACCAAGAAATACAGATGCAGATATTTCTGTAAGCAGATTACCGGATAAGTAAAACTCCGATAAGTCCACGGTCCAAGTCTGATTGTGAGGATTAACTTGTCTTACTTGGTTGTAGTTGATTATCAGTACCCTTAATGCCTTCATGCCCTCGAAAAAGTCTGGTTGAATTTCGTCTATTGGGAGATTGTTATATGTGAAACTGAATTGTATGAGTTTTGTCAAATTTGAGAAGACTAAAGAATAGAGGCTACTCAGGTCGTTGCTATTGAAGTCCAGAACGGATAGAGAAGAATCGCGCAGTGGATCAAAGAAATCTTCAGGAAACGCACCAACGGATCCTTTCTCGATTGTAAGCTGTTCGATGTCTGATTTAGAGATTCCGATGAAGATGTTCGCTAACACTTCGTCACTCAAAGGGTACCCACCTAGCACCAAAGAGCGAACATGTAGTGATGCGATCACATCAGGGTCTACTGTTTGGATATGGTTTTTCGTAAGATCTAGAGTATCAGTGTGGCACACAAAGATGAAATCTCTCGCCGTAAGGTGTTGTAGTCGATTACCAGTCAAGATTACAGACTTGACCATGCCACAAGAACTTATATTGATGAAGGAGAGCTGATTGAACCACAGATATGCAGTATATATATATGTAGACCCCATTGTAGAGTGTCATTGGGGAGCGACTTCAAGTTTGATGCCGTTAGTTCGAGAATGGAAAGCTGTGAAGACATCATGAAGGCGCCTGTTGCTGGAAGCACAAGACGCCGGTTAGCGGATAGAAACAGGTACAGTAAGCCCTTGAGGGGGTAAAAAGCGCCCGATTCTATCGATCTTACATCGTTGTGAGAAATGTCCAAGGAGGTAATAAGAGGGTATAATTCAAACGAGGAGTTGAAGAGTTTAGTGATATTGTTCTTAGATAAGTCAAGCACCTCGGTATCCTCGGAAAGATTCTGGGGAACCGTGTCCAGGTCTTTATTGCTGCAAGAAGCTTTTTTTAGTTCAAGGTTCTGATCACATCCATGGAAAGATTTGTCTATATCCAGTGTTAAGGATGGCATAGCCGCATCTCCATCGTGTCGATGTAAAGATTGAAAGGACGAGCTGACGAGGAGACAAGCGACGAGCAATGGGTACAAGATTGAGCCGTTTGCCATGACGTCAATATTATCACCTCTGAAAAAGGAAAGATACACCTTTGTCGGATGATAATATATCGCTCTTGAATCTATGCTAACTCAAGCTCATAGAAGCAGAAACAAATGTTATTCTCTGCTGCAGACGGTCAGCCTCATTTTGAGCTGTGCAAAGGTGCTCGAATTTTCTTTCCTTAAAAAATTGTGGTTGTGATATTCTAAATTAGTAATCAAAACTAAAATATAAGTTCGAGAACCAATTATGAATGTTTTCAGATGAAACCGAAAGTCATATTTCATTTTTGGATAAACATATAAACATTGTAAAAGTAATAAATCACAAGCAAACCCATATGAAATATTCTAACGGTTATGTATTAAAGAGCACAAGAGAAAATATTTGATTCCAAACACTAAACTTCCATGCGCTAGTATAATAGGCCTACCTTTCTACTCACAAGTCGCTCATTCCTTAGTAATTTCGACAATTAAAACCTGAAACACTTTATACAGAAAAAGTCAGAAAACGTACAAAAGTATCAAAATCATTACCGGCTCTATCTGAAATACCACATTCCTAAATATCGCAAAATATGAATTGACAGAATTATATGATTAATGTGATAGAACGGACAAAGTTTCTGAAGTAGGCGTTCTTTTCTTACGCTCGTATGATTTACCTGATCATGCTGATGATGGTGAAGAAAATAATGAGAAAGTTGTGAGAAAGTTGTGATACGGTGGGGGAATTTTCCATAAATATTTTGGGATACTTATCTCTATCCATCACCCCCCCCCCCCCCCCAAAGAAAAAAGTTCAGGCTTTATTTATAGTTTATAGTGGAAGCGGCAATTAAATAATTAACAGGAAGTCTAAAGTAACAGACGGTGAGGGACGTGCTCTGATTGGCTACTGCCGCACCGATAGGCGAGCTACGAATTACGACAAAGGCTATTAATAGGTACAGCCTATAGCTAATGCATCCAACGAAAACTCAAGGCGCATGTGAAGTACATGTAGGCCCAGTGGCGTAACCAGGGGGCCCGAGGGCCCTGTGGAAAACAGGTAAAAACACGTTAATTTGACCTTTATTTGGAAATGGGCCCCTCCCCTGGAGCTCAAGGGGGGGGGGGAATTGTCGAGGGCAAAAAAAAATAGTGCTCACTATATAATACACACTATACAAATAGTGCCTCTTTTGCTTTGACAATTGCCCCTTATAATATGTAAAAGTGCCCATTCCCCTTTTCACCATTGATTGGTGCCCTTTTTCCTTCGACAAGTTCCCATTTTCCTTTGCAATAAGTGTCCATTTTCCATTCTCATAAGTGCCCCTTTTCCTTACGATAAGTGCCCCCAATTAAAAAAGAGCCCCTTCCCCTTCTCATAAATGCCCCCCCTTTCACCTATGAAAAGTGTTTAGGAGACACTGATAGAAGTTGGAATTTAGAGAAACATGACCTGAAATGAACCCACAAGCCTATAAGATATTTAGGTCACTATATATATTTTAATAATAATTAAGCTCTAAAGATGGACTGGGAGCAGAAGTTGATAAAATTGAGGAAAATTCTTGATAGCTGGACAAAAAGAAGCTCAACCATTTTTGGAAGAGTCACGGTACTGAAAAGTCTAGCACTTAGCCAAGTTACTCACTTGATCATGGTTGATTCCATCCCTCCAAACTTTTTGAAGATGATAGAAGGTATTATATTCAAATTTATTTGGAGGGGTACTAAACAGAAAAATTCAAAAGGGTTTCTCTTATGGAAGACTACAGTAAAGGCGGTATAAAAAATACTTGACATACAAAGGCAATTGTTCAGCTTCCGACTGAAATGGTTGGGTAGATTTTTCAAAGAGAGTAATGGAGCGTGGAAAACATTGTTTTCTTACTGGTTCAACTTATTGGGAGGCATCAGTTTACTGTTGAACTGCTCTTATAAATAACCACACTTAGTGATATTCTAGTTCAAAAGAAAATTCCGTCATTTTACGTAGAAATATTAAAGGCATGGGAAATGATTAGATACTGCACTACAGTGAAAGATGTTTATCTATATGAACCAGTGAAAGTTTCAGATCAGATTATTTGGCACAACAAACATGTGGGCCCGAATTCACAAAGGAGGTTTGTCGACAAACCGAGGTTTATGTACGTCATATGACGCGTTTTGACGCGTTTTGTACATAACAAAAGAAGGTTTGTCGACAAACTTTGTGAATTCGGGCCGTGGTGTATGATAATCAGTCGCTCTTTTATAAAGGCTGGTACGACAGTGGTCTAGTATCCTTAGGAGACCTTTTTACGAGAGATGGCTTTCGGTCAACAGAAAATATTATATCGCAGGTGCATTCCAAACGAAAATGCAATGCAATGGTTGACTATGCAAGACTTACAGGTACTATGTCCCTTTTGCAGCCAACCTCAAATGCTGTAGAACTTTACAGGAATTATGAATATGTCATATATGTCCTATCTGTGAAATTTAAACGTTAGCAGTGTCCTCATATTCAAATTATGCAAGGAAACCCGTTTACTTGCTAGACTTCACTGTCAGACACTATTGAGTGACTGACTGGCTTTTTTTCTTCTTTGGTAATAACATACATGAAAAGAGTTGTAAAGGGTACATGAGCATGTGTTTACATCAATAACCCACTTCTTGTGATGGCCAAGATTAAACTGATTGAATCTTTGCGCAGCATAAAACGTATGACCATTCGGTACAATGGTCTGAAAATCAAGACTATCACTTTTGAGCTCTATAGCCCTAAAGTCGATTTGACAACTAATAGTCGTTATTTTCCCACTTGAAGACATTTTCAAGCCCCACCTTTTTTAGGGAAGTTCTAAATTAGTATTGTCTTTCAAATTCAGTTGGAATTTAACTTTTTCATTTTTTGGGCCTGCAAATGGGACATAGTACCTTTAAACGAGCGATACCACCTGTATGGGTCAATAGTTTAAAAGAAGAATTTATGCATGAATATACTAGACAAGAAAATGAAAACAAAGTTCCATATCTGTTGGTTGCAAATAAGGTAAAACATGTTACGGATATAAGTAGCAATCGTTTCTATAAACTCATTCCATCGAGACATGTTGCCTTTATTGGGGAAAAAACTTAATGTAGATATTGATTGGTTTATGGTATTCAAGCGTAATCTTTCACAAATTAGAGAAAGCAAATAACGAGAGTTTAACTTGAAATTACTGTATAATCTATTGCCAGTAAGAAGTAATCTTTTCAAATGGGGAATATCAAATGACGATGTATGCTCAAAATGTAATATTAAAGAGGATATGAATCACGCATTTATAGAATGCAAACTAATTGAGCCTTTCATTAAATATCTGAAAGAAATATTACGAGACATATACAAAGTAAAGATACTGACGTTCAGTATCCAACACCTGCTCAAAATAGATAGTGAAAGTCATTGTATTTTATTCTTTACAATAGCATTTTGGACCATTTATAAATTGATTGTTAAACGAAATATAACTGGGATAGACAAAAGAAAAGTTGCTTCTAAACAAAACTTCCATAGAGAAATTACAAAAAGATTGGAAGGTAATTCAAACATAAAGATGACCAGAAAGCTTTTACCAAAAGAACTGTTAGGTGTTATTAAAGGAAAAAAAGAGAGAAAAAAAGAGAGGGAAACAAACTATCAGTATAATTTTTATGTTAATTATGATTCAATTGCTTTGCAAACCAAAAGTTAATTTCAATTCTTTGTTATGACAATAATAATGTTTTTGTGATTATGTAACTTTGATTTGTAGTATTGTATCTTTGAATGTAACCATGTATATATAATCAATAAATCCTCTGATGAGGCAAAGAAAAGGAAAAAAAACATATCAACTCTGAAAAAGGAAAGGTACACCTTTGTCGGATGACAATATATCGCTCTTGAATATAATTATGCTCAAACTCAAGCTCATAGAAGCATAAACAAATTGTTATCCTTTGCTGCAGACGGGCAGCCTCATTTTGAGCTGTGAAAAGGTGCTCGGACTTTCTTTCCTTAACAAAATATGGTTAGGATATTCTAAATTAGTAATCAAAACTAAAATACAAGTTCAGGAACCAATTATCAATGTTTTCAGATGAAACCGAAAGTCATATTTTTTGGATAAACAAATAAACATTAGACAAGTAATAAATCACAAGCAAACCCACGCATATGAAATATTCTAACGGTTCTGTATTAAAGAGCACAAGAGGAAATATTTGATTTCACTGACACTAAACTTCCGTGCGCTAGTATGATAGGCCTACCTTTCTACTCACAAGTCGCTCATTCCTTTGTAATTTCAACAATTAAAATCTGAAACACTTTATACAGAAGAAGTCAGAAAACGTACATAATTATCAAAATCATACCCGGCTCTATCTGTTTCCAGTTATGTTGAAGTGGTATAATGAAATACCACATTCCTAAAAATCGCAAAATATGAATTGATATAATTATATGATTAATGTGATAGAACGGACAAAGTTCCTGAAGTAGGCGTTCTCGTCTTACGCTCGTATGACCTACCTGATCATGATGATGAAGGTGAAGAAATGATAAAGTTGTGAGAAAGTTGTGATACGGTGTGGGAATTTTCCATAAATATTCTGGGATACCTATCTTTATACATCACCCCCCCCCCCCCAAAGAAAAGAAAAAAGTTCAGGCTTTATTTATAGTTTATAGTGGAAGCGGCAATTAAATAATGAACAGAAAATCATATCGCAAGAATTCCCTTTATATTAATTTTATAAGCTAGCCCATTTCGTGTACGATAAGCAAACATATCGTAGACTAGTATAGTATAGTATTGGCCACATATTGAGAAGCTGCTATACGATACTGTAACGATACAACTCTAAAAACTGTTACACAATTTATTGAGTTAGATTTATTATAGAAATGAATCAAATAACAAATTTATGTAAGACATCTTAAGAACAGAGCTGAGACTTAAAGGTACTATGTCCCATTTGCAGGCCAAAAAATGAAAAGGTTAAATTCCAACGGCATTTGAAAGACAATACTAATTTAGAACTTCCCTTTAAAAGGGGGCTTGAAAATGTCTTTAAGTGGGAAAATAATGACTATTGCTTGTCTAATCGACTTTGGAGCTATAGAGCCAGTAAGTAAGAGTCTGATTTTCAGACCATTGTACCGAATGGTATACGTTTTATGCTGCGCAAAGATTCAATCAGTCTAATTTTGGCCATTACAAGAAGTGGGCTATTGATGTAGACAAATGCTCATGTACCCTTTACAGCTCATTTTATGTATGTTATTACCAAAGATGAAGAAAAGCCAGTCAGTCACTCAATAGTGTCTGACTGTGAAGTCTAGCAAGTAAACGGGTTTCCTGTCATAATTTGAATATTAGGACACTGCTAACGTTTAAATTTCACTGATAGGACATACATGACATATTCATAATCCCTGCAAAGTTCTACAGAATTTGATGTTGGCTGCAAAAGGGACATGTATCTTTAATCAGAAGGTTTCTAATGACCAAGGCCGAAATGACGTCATCTTGAAAATGATTATAATGATATCAAGAATGATAATAAATGAAATTGGGAGGGGCCAATTGTGTTGGTATTATAATTGTATTGCATTGTATTGGGTTGGATTAGTTCACTGATAGAAAAATGATTTTTAAAATGCAGTTAAAACTAGCATCATCATTGGCATTCTTATCGTCATCATTATCGTCATTATCATCATCATCGGCTTCATCATCATCCTCACCTTAGCAGTCATAACCATCACTACATTAATCATCATCATTATATAGATCATCATCATCATCTTCTATTTTATTAAGTACTATCATTACTTTCATATTTTCATCACTATCATCCAGAAGCCCAATCCGGGGGAGGGAATGGGCAGGGGATAGGGGGCACAGTACCCCCCCCCCCCCCACTTTTTCAAGAATCCAAAAGTGCCCCATGTTTACAAAGGAAGAGTGCTCTTTTATTAAAATTTGTTAGAATTGCCCCTGTTTACATAGGAAAGTGCCCCTTTTGCTTTGACAAATGCCCCTATTAATATGTTAAAGTGCCCATTCCCCTTTTCACCATTGATTGGTGCCCTTTTATTTTCACACGTCCCCCTTTTCCTTCGTAAGGTTCCCATTTTCCTTTGCAATAAGTGTCCAGGCATTCTCATATTAAAGTGCCCCTTTTCCTTATGATAAGTGCCCCCATAAAAAGAGCCCCTTCCCCTTCTCAATGCCCCCTTTCACCTATAAAAAGTGTCCAACTTCACGCCGGTCCCTTTTCATTCTCATAAGTGCTCTTTTTCATATATAGTAAATGACCCTTTTCAGGTACGAGAAGTTACTCCTTTTTACTTCAGATAAGTGCCCCGTTTATTTTTACATGTGCCTCTTTTCCTTTTTAATAAGAGCCACTTCCCCCTTCCCTTCTCATATTAAAGTCTGATCGGTGCCCTTTTTCTTTCAACGAATGCACATTTTTTTCTTTATCATAAGTGCCCCTTTCAGGTTTCATCCCTGGTGAGTCCTTCTTTTCAGGTATAAGATTAGTGTCCCATGTTCACCTCTGATAATTGCCCTTTATACTTTGACGCGTGCTCCTTTTCTTTTCTAATACGTGACTTATACCTTTCGATAAGTGTCCGCTTTTCCTCTCATCATTAAACGGGCCCCTAATTTCAAGCGACTAAGAGCAATTTCCCCAAAGCTCGCTCGCATTTATAGATGATATGATTATGTTACTTATCAAATGTCTTTTCAGTCTTCTGTTATAAGAATGTGCTTATAATCCCATCAGGATTAGGTTTTTTGCTCTTTATAAGACGTAATTTTTCACACTGCGACCTCACCAATCTTAATATATTTCCTCGCTCACTCGCAAATGAACATTCAGATCATCACACCCAATAAAAAAGAATGATGCTTAACCAATATCTTGTATGGTGTATAAAGAGAAACAAATATTGAAAGCATTCCTGAAAATGATATCAAAATGTAGGGTATATATACCAATGTCTACAAAATTATTTATTTTTGCTTTGAGATTTCCCTTTGTAGGTGCCCGTTTTTGTTGGTGCCCCCCCCCCCCCCCAAAAAAAAAAAAAAAAAAAAAAAAAAAACTTGGGAAGTCGTATCTCGTATGCTAATTAATTGATCTGAACCGTTATCCTGCATCCTATTCGATACAGCCAATCCAATCGGAAGCCAATATATAGTCTATACATGTATATTGGCTTCCGATTGGCTGTATCGAATAGGCCCAGACGCCCAGTTATGACTTTGTCACCATGGAGTCGTTGTTGTACCTAGTTTTAGTTTTTTTTTTTAAATGAAAACAAATGATACATTTCATTGGAATATTTGTTTTAGCACTTATACAAAACTTCTTGGGGCCACCTCTGGCCATATTTTCATCTTCCACTTCTGATGAAGAAAAAAAAATAGAGCCTACGTCAAAGATATGGGCGTGGTGCGTAGGCTATATTTCAAATAAACTATTTTTGTTTTGTTTTGTCTTATTTGCATTCTAAGAATTAATTTAGGCTCATAAGGTATATGATAACAGAAAAGTAATGTATAGAGTGTTTGTCCAAACACCTTTGAGGTATACATGTATATGATCTTCAGTTTGGCATAATATCCCTACATGTATATTTAATCTATGAGTCAATGCAATTGGTTAAGCCTACATTATTTTATTACAATAAGGTCTCACATTAGTCAAGGTCACTGACCTCTAGAGGTTGAGGTCAGTGGTCAAGGTGTACATTTTTGAAGATACCATAACAGATTTCCCATACGAAAATGACGAGTAGGTTCAGCCGAAATCCTAGATTGCGGAACTAAATGTCACGTAAATAAATAGAGGAAAGCTATATAATTGTAGCCTCTGTTGGTGTAAATATTGCCGTTTTTAGAAAGAGAAGTTAAGGAAGCAGCGATGCAACACTCAATTGTTGAATACCTATCGGAACATGAGGGCTACAGATGTGGATACTGCGGATCGGAGGACTCGAACTTCTCCCACGGTAAGAGTAAGAGTGCACGGGGAGCTTGGGCCAGCGCTCAGTCGCTCCACACGTCCACTGAGCCTTGCTCAGGAACCCGAAAGAGCTCTGCAGAGATCGTCCAGCTCCGGTCTAATTCTAACTTGTTAGGTCTAATTTCGGCAGGAATAAAGTTAGAATCTAACATTTTCTGCATTTTTAATTTCATTTTTTTTCACTTGCTTGGAAGTTGGTAAATAGTAATCTGTGCTGTGAAGTAAATTGTTAATAAAAAGTCGGTTTTCAAAGTTAGCTTGTATTATTTGTAGGTGAAATGAAGAAGGAGAACCGACTGAACGTACCACAGTCACACTCACAGACATTACCGCTAGACCAACTCACGTCTCCAGATGCCAAGGGAGTTAGGACTAGGAGTGGATCGAATTTCAGACCAACAAAGTACAAGAAAAAAAGAATAGAAAGAAAGGACGTGTTAATTTTGTGTCCCGGCTGATTAATTTGAAATTCAGAGTCGCCTCCATTTGGATTAGAGTTCTAACATAAAAGTTAGTTATAGATCTTTGGACATTTAATTAATGTTATTAAGTATTTTTGGGAGGTGGTGGGGCATGGGTCGAACTTTGAATTAAGTTGATATTTTAAACAATTTGTTATTAATTATGTTTCTCTTGTACAGATCAATCGTATACCTTTCTTGTGGTTCCCTGCCACAGAAGTTCAAGGTGTTAAACAAAAGATTATATTCTAAAAACTATGAACTTTAAAAATTTTACCACTTTATTGTGAAATATACCCATTTAACAGATATGTTTTATGAATTGAATTTGTTTTTATTTGGTAGGAATGTGGGCTCACAACCTCACATGTCAGGACTATAATGATCTCATTGATAGAGGGTGGAGAAGGTAAGCAGCACTTTATCTTTGGCTTCTTATCTTTTAACTATCGAATAGGGTCTATTTAATTGGATGGCAGTAAAAGAATCGATTGACCATATTTTTTTTTGCTTGAGTGACCAGTGGCTAATTTTGAAAAACTTATAAAAATTGGTTTGCGAAAAATGTTTTGACCAGTGCTCATTCAATTTCAAGCATTAATTGTTGTCAATACCTTTAGTTCCATCTGATTAAATAGACCCTCGTCCATGATTTCATAAGAACAAAATCAGGCAGATATTGTGAAATTGTAATTCTGGAGGATATTTTCAAAGTTTATATTTTTGGTATACGCACTAGTATACAAATAATACACATCAGTGAGGCCCGCACAAAATGATGTGTATTATTTGTTTTATAGGTATGATTTTACTAATGACCAGTCATTAGTAAAATTGCATGTTAGGCAAAATAAATACCTGATTAGGATCGGTTTCATCATCTTATAAGCCAGACTATCCTATACTGGTAAATTTTCCACAAAAATTATATATTTGTTGTTAATGGCATATATATCTTTTTTCAGGAGTGGTAAATATGTGTACAAGCCGACTATGGATAAGATGTGCTGCCCTCAGTATACCATCAGATGCCACGCCCCATCCTTGAAGTTGACGAAATCCCAGAAGAAAGTCCTCAAAAGGGCGACTAAATTCTTCACCACTGGAGAAAAACCCGGAGGAGAGGGAGGGGTACGGCAAGATGGAGAGGACGCGCCTGGAGGGGCGCATCCAATGCCTCATGTTCCAGACCATCATCCTCAGATGTCGGTAGATGACATGGCAAACGTGCAAGATGGAGGAACCATCCAAGGGTCGGATAGCAAGACTGAAGAGGTCAAAGGTCAGACAGAGGCCAGGGTTCCATCACAGCATGGAGAGATAACAGGAGAAGGGGCAGGAGTGACTGAAGATGGCCAGGCAGCGGTCTCAACAGAGAAACAGAAAAAGATCCCTAAACCAGGTAAATCATAGGAGACAGCTTTCCTATTTCAATCAGATTTAATTCATCAAAATATATATATAGTTAAAATAGTGAAATCTGATATTGCTTCTTCTTCTTCTTCATCTTTCTTTACTGCATATCATCCATAGTAAACATTTTTGTATGGACCTTAAGCCGTAGTAATTATACAGATTAGGTGTATATGTAACTAACATTGTAGCAATAGCATTTTCGGGGGCTGTAAAATACCTTTTCTTTGCAACGACGTGTTGCAATTGCAAAAGCCTTTTTTTAAGTTGAGAAGGAGCATGAGGTTCTATTTTTGTTTCATTTTGACCGAATCAATATCCTTGTGTTAGGCTTAGGTCCAGACCCAACCAAACCACCATGCAAGAAATCCAAGCTGAGAAAGTTAGAAAAACATCAAGAGAGGCTGAAGCAGAAGACTTACGCAGATAGTTCTGACCCTAAGGCTGGATCAAGCAGCGCTTCCAAGGTTGAGAACAGTGCCAAGTCATTGGAAGAGTTCATAGTAGATGCAGTACCTGGCCAGGATCTCAAACACCGGCTTGAGGTAATCATGCAAATAATGGGACTATTTACTAGGGCCCAGATTTAAGTTTACAACGATTTTATTGTCTTTTTTCATGCTATCAAGTATCATCAAGTGGGGAATACATTTTGGTAAGTCTCTATAAAAAATTTAACTTCCAAATATTTATCTTAATGAGGGAAATCCCCCCACTCCACCCTGTCATTGCGAAATAAGGATAAATTTAGGGATGACTGATCAAAAATATTGATGGATTTCTTTTGCAGTTCAATCATGCCTGATTATCTTTTAAATTACTGCATAATCACATCTTTAAATTTCAAGTGAATATGTTAATTTGATTCTTTGGTATTTTTTGGGGGGGAAATTAATTGCAATTTTCAAATTTGAGTATTTTTTAAGATTGATAATTTTCAAGTATGTGATGTATTCTTGGTATTTTTTTTAAAATGAGCTGAATCGGCCGACATAAAAAAAAATGATAAATTTGACGATAGTCATGATGAACATTGTCGTTACCCTAATAGACTGCATTTAATTTAGATTTGTTGTATTAATATTATCATATATATTTAGTCAATTTTTGTTCTATTCTGGTGAATTGAAAGTTTTATTTGAAACAATATTTGTGTGTGATTATATCTATGTATACCTTTTTTATCATTATATGTGTAAGGAAAAGCATGGAGAAATGGCTAGGTATAGACTATTGAGTAAAATACAGTTGTAAATTCTGAGATTTAGTCTCTCTATTATTTTCCTTTTAGCGGGATAGTGAAGCATCAAAAGCTTAAAGTTCCTTTCTTTTTTATGTATTGGTTAGATCAAGTTGGTTCGGTCTAATCCCATGTCAGCCGAATTTGGACGGACCCTCCATGAGAGTCATCAGGTCTACACCAAATATCAGATGAGTGTCCATAATGACGAAGAAGCCAAGGTCAATCTTAGACAGGTAATCAACATGAAGATATCTACATTAGGTTTCTTCTCAAGATAAAGGAATTAACACATCATGTCTCAATCTCATACAAGTAATACGTGTAGAATTTTCACGCTCCCTCTCTCAGCTCTCAGCAGAAGATGCACAGTCAAACCTGCTTTAGTGACCACCTGTCTACCACATTTGTTTCCCTTGAAAGTCTTTTCTCATTTAAACATGTACTATAGGCACCTGTACCTAAAGACCACCTGCCTATAAAGATCACTTTCTTGTCTCCCTTGGGTGGTCTTTATAGACAGGTTCCACTGTAGTACATTCAAGAAGATCTATGAAGACGATTAGGTAGGTATTGCCCAAAAGAACTGGAGCTGCACAATGATTACAAGGTATGCTCTCGTAAACTTCCACATGAATATTTATGACTTATAACTGGTACATCTGAAGTGTTTTTTTGTTTTTTTAATGGTAGGAACAACCAAGGAGACTAAATACATGCAGGGAAAATAAAGACCGCGTGTGCATGCCAGAATATCTCGAAAAACAGATCACATTAAGGAGCTTTCAAGCTTCTTTACTGTAGTTACCAAATATTGACACGGAAAGAAAGAAACTTAAAGAAATGTCCTTTCTTCTAAGTCCTGCAATTTTACACGAAGTCGCTTCTTTTCTTTACTACCAGTTTGCTGAGAAAAAGTTACGCAAAGTACCGGTAAACCTTTCATGAGAAGAAACCAATATGATAGATGTTTTCGTGTTCATCCTGTACAACTTTGGTCTTTATCTTTTAAAATCTCAAACCATTTAGATAAATGAAGAAGGATTTTTGGAACAGATTACTCCCAAATTTGTTTTTGTTAGAGGAACAGTGAAAGGACTGTATTTGAGAAGCAAGATTGCAGTCCATGCCAAGCCTTTCTTCATGCTCTTCCCTTCCCCCCCCCCCTCCCTTCTTTCCCCCTCTCTCCCCCTCTCTCCCTCCCTCCCTCTCTCCCTCTCCCTCTTGCTCTCTCTCTCTCTCTCTCTCTCTCTCCCTCCCTCTCCCTCCCCCCCAAGAATAGTGCAATCTTCATGTGCAGATCAGCTGTACATTATCTTGTATATATCACATTTGACCTCTGACCTCTAGATCAAATTGATTCGCACAAACCCACCCAGTCAAGAATACTTAGAGACAGAGGAGGAAAGCCACAAAGTTTATGAGAAATATCAGACTTTTGTTCATAATGATCCCCTCGATGAATGTGCCCTCCTCGAAGTAAGTGGAACATTCCATTTCGTATGTTAATACATGAAAGACTACTTCAGGCCTTTCTATTGTTAGTAGGGATGTTTATTTTTCTGAGTCCATCAAGAGGTTGGAATAATTTTTTGCCTCTCAGAGGTAGGTGCAATATTCATATTACTCGTATTATGTAATGAAAGGTACTGTATTGTATCACTTTGAGTCACGTAATTGCATATATTTTTAGGGTAAAATAAAGAGAAAACATTTTGATTCCCATTCAGTAAATGGGTGCTACTTGTCATAAAAAGACTTTACTGGTGTGAACTGTGGCTAAAACAATTGTACCCATCTTGGATCCTTCAACACAAATGAGGTAAGTGTGTTGCTTAGTTTATATACATAACTGCTCAACCAATAAGGGAACATGCTGCATTGCCTTAACTTGGGTAAGTGGAATGTGAGACATGGGCTGGCTAATTGTAAATATGGGTGTTTATTAACAGTGCAATAATGTATTGCAGGCACCTGTACAACTTTTGAGTAAAAGCCAATGATACATTGTTTCTGAAATTTAATTAATTTCTTGTTGACACAGTGTATATCTATGTATATCTGGTTTTTCAGAAAAGTAGAATTGCTATCTTGAATATATACTTTATCTGATTAAAGATGAAGTTGAGTTCTGGTCATGCGATTGCATTGTGAAAGAAACGGTGTGGAATCGATCAGAAAAGGTTGATCATCTTGCATATAAGAATTTGTGTGTAGTATTGCAAGGTTCTGGAATCATCAAAATGATAAGAAATTTGGCCAAGTCTTGGTAAAGTTACAAACACTGTACACAGAAAGATGTATATGGGACTACACAAACACATGGTGTAAAAATCCTACCCCAGAGTTTTACGATGTTACATGACATATTTAGAATATGAAGGCATTTGAAGAGCCATGCTTTTCTGGGAACATGTCTTATCTGATGTTCTTCCACACTTGCATAATAAGAATGATAACGCTCACAAATTATTTTTCACCTCTTCCCAGAACTCAACCTTCTCTTTAAAGATTACTTGTTCCAATGCTACGGATAAATTGATACATCACTACGTGAATTTTGAAAACTTTACAAACTTTACAAACTTAACTTTACAAACTTTTGAGTTCTATTTATATTTGTATAAGGTGCAGAAAATTGCATACTGGATTATGATTCCCCCGGTGTATTATCTTAATTACCCACATAAATGTTTAATTTCACAATTCCTGGACAATACAAGTTTTTGATATTTCAATCTATGATTTCTATATCTCTCTCTCTCCAGTACAAACGATTCTTAGTAGATTCACCTCTTGTAGAACAGTACTCAGACGACAGCCCTGAATGCGGCTACGGATCATTCCATCAACACTATGTCCTTGATGGTAAGATCATTGCAGTCGGCGTCATGGATATACTACCGACGTGCATATCATCGGTCTACTTCTACTACGATCCTGAATATAGATTCCTCACATTGGGGACCTTCTCAGCACTAAGGTATGAGAGAAAAATGGTTCATAACAAACTATTTTTATGCCTCCGTTACAAAGTATCCGGAGGCATTATGTTTTTGGGTTGTCCGTCCGTCCGTCTGTACGTCCCGTTCTCGTGATCGCGTTATCTAAAGAACCGATTGATGGATTCCTGCCAAACTTTGGTCATGTATGTATCTTGCAGAGCCGATGAACTGATTAGATTTTGGGGTCATGAGGTCAAGGTCAAAGGTCATGCGGCTCATTATGTATGCAAAAATAGCTTGTGATCGCATTATCATTAGAACGGATTGATGGACTCCTGCTTAACTTAGATCATGTATGTACATGTATCTTGGGTCATGAGGTCAAAGGTCAAAGGTCACAGGGCTCATTATGTATGCAAAAACAGCTCGTGATCGCGTTATCTCAAGAACCGATTGATGGATTCCTGCCAAACTTAGGTCATGTATGTTACTTGCAGAGCCGATAAACTGATTAGATTTTGGGGTCATGAGGTCAAGGTCAAAGGTCATGCGGCTCATTATGTATGCAAAAATAGCTTGTGATCGCATTATCATTAGAACGGATTGATGGACTCCTGCTTAACTTAGATCATGTATGTACATGTATCTTGGGTCATGAGGTCAAAGGTCAAAGGTCATGGGCTCATTATATATGCAAAAATAGCTTGTGAACGCATTCGCATTAAAACTGACAGATGGATTACTATTTAACTCAGGACATCTTGCAGAGCCAATGAACTGAGCAGATTTTAGGGTTATGAGGTCAAAGATCAAAGGGTCATATATGTACATGAGAAATTGCTTGTAATCACGATATTCTGAGAACCTGTTAATGGATTACAATTGAACTTGAATTTGAAAAATTTCTTCTGATTTGGTTTGTAAAATTGCTCTTTGACGGAGGCATCATTTTCGACTGCGCGCAGTCAAAGTTCCATCTAGTTATTCTTATGTTTATTCACCTGTACTTGGAACTGGTGGGGGGGGGGGGGGGACATACAAATTCATAACAAACTCTGACAAAATCTTAAGGAGAAAGGTCATTTTCATAAGCAGCCACCGTTTTATGGAATAACTTGCAGGAATGCCTTAGAAATATAGAAACCTATGAAATTAATTTGAAAAAAATATATTTAGCACTTTGTAAGATCTAACGCTTATGAAACCAGTGCACCATTTCCACTTCTTCTGTATTCTATTCTGTTAAGTGTATAGAGACATGCAATTATGCCTATGTGTTATGAGCTATACAAAACGTTTGATTATTTATTATTGTTATACCAGCAAACCAAAGTATTCATGAGCGGAGAGGGAAAAGCTCATAACAAACTCTTGAAAATTGGTAAAGAGCTGTCCTGAGTAAAGAAAGAAAAAATCTTCAAAATGTGGAAGGGGAGCTTTCAAACCGAACTTCACCATGAAGTGGTGTGTCTGAACAAGAATGTGCGCTTGCTGCTTTCAACTTCAAATGAACGTTTTGCTTATATCATATTTATATTGTACATCACATTGTCGTACTTCAACCTTCATTAATTACCAGTACTTTCTCAAGAAAAGAAAGGAATATTATATTTGTCTGTCATCCAGTTCAAATGAAGTTTAATCTCGTACTCTAACATGTCAAACACATAATAAATGAAATATTGAGTTGTTATTTGTGCACTTTGTGTTCACCTTTCAGTTACAGAGAGTTAGCCTTCACAAGATTACTACATTCAGCATTCACTTATCACTTTGTGCATTTTCATTGTATCTTTCGGTTACAGGGAATTAGCGTTCACAAGATTACTAAATGTGACTGCGCCTGCTTTAGAGTACTACTATATGGGCTTCTATGTGCATTCATGTCGGAAAATGAGATACAAGGTAAAAGATTATTGCATTTTATGCCCAAGAACTGACTTATGAAATGGTCATAATGGTTGAATTTGTATTATAAACTCCTCAAAACATGTTCTACAGTTCAAGTTTGAGCCTTGATATCTCTCTTGTTACTATATTATCCCATTCAACATTGGTATCTTCAAAGAGCCTACTCGTTCCCCCCTTACAATGAAGCCCCATTAGTAATGATTATGTAATCATGGAATGGGGCCAAGACCCCCCAACAATACTGACGACTCCAATATCATTCAACACAATCCACCCTTCAAACAAATGAATAATTCACTGTTGACAATAACAATGCATTTTGCATCATTTCACTTTAGACTTGGCCTCATATTCAGGTGAACTGCACAGTCCATGATAACATAATCATTACAAATGGAGCATCATTGTAAAGTGAAACACCTAGGCTTTCCAAGGATATCAAATTCAAGTATGATATTATAGTCAAAAGAGAGATATCAACGCACAAACTTGAATTGCAGAACCTTTTTTTGAGGAGTTTAGATAGACAACATGAACAGACATACTCCAGATAATTCATTGAGTGAAATATCATCTTGCAGCATTCCACAGGGTTGTTTATGAAGATCAGTGCAGTATTACAGGTTGAAATTTTCCATTGACATATTAATCACCATGTTGGTACCCTTGCTTGGGGGGGGGGGGGGGGGGGGGTTCTCCTTCTTTTCTTCTTCTGAAGTCCCCCATGCTTTTTATGTGCAACAGCTGTTTTGCAGAGGTAAGAACCTTTTATGCAATTAGGAAGGACGATGAGTTGTATGACTGTATATTTTATCCTCTGTATTTTATCAGTTTTCTACTCTTACATGATGATGTGCCTTCTTTTTTGCAGGGTCAATTCTACCCTTCCTCTTTACTCTGCCCCGAGGCTTACATCTTTCATCCCATAGAAGATTGTTTACCCAAGCTTGATGTTAACAAGTACTCGCGCTTCGCCTCAGATGATGAAGGTAAGTCCATGTTAGGAAAAGTCTTAGGATGAAGTTGAGTTCTGGTCATGCGATTGCATTGTGAAAGAAACATTGTGGAATCGATCAGAAAAGGTTGATCATCTAGCATATAAGTATTGGTGTGTACTGTAAAGTTCTGGAATCATCAAAATGATAAAAAGTTTGGCCCAGTCTTGGTAAAGTTACAAGCACTGTACACAGAAAGATCTATTATGGGACTACACAAACTTGTGGCATAAAAATCTGTCCCGATTTTTATGATGTTACATGCCATATTTAGAATATTAAGGCATTTAAAGAGCCATGCTTTTCATTTTTTATCTGCTGTTCTTCCACATTTGCATAAAACAATGATAATGCTCACAAATTATTTTTCAACCTTCTCTTATTTTGTAATCTTTGAAGGCTTCCATTGTAATGATAGATTCGAGCGAAGTTTGGGGTTACATCCTGAAGATAGGTCCAACCTATCGATACACTGAGATAGAGCGTGAGGGGGCCATTTTCAGGGCCAACTTACTCTATCAAAAGAAAATGTGGTATAAACGCAATTCTCGCTTAGATCTACGTTTTTTGGTCTTGTACATAAACAGACGCCATCAAAGATTTTATCAAATGTGAAGCCTGACCCTAGCTTGAATCAGATAAAATATCAAGAATAACCACTTATCCAATCCAGCTCAATCTAATTCAGGAATTTGTATAGTGGCAATAACTATTTGCCTAATCAAAGGCACTTTAAAAAATTAATTTGTTCATTTTTCCATTATATTTGGTAAAGTATATGACACCATAACTTTCCCTATACAAGAACAGGCCACTTGGTTCAGTCAGGGGACACAAAGACAAAATGGATGAGATGATAGAAAAGGGATGTGGTGAAAGTGGCCTTTCAGGGAACAATCACCAAAAGAACAACTAATTATTTGTATATATATAGTTAGATAGAAGACATAAAAATCTCACACCATAAACGTTATGAGACATTCGGATTTAAGAGCATAAAGAGGAAAACTATTTCACATCAAGAGGTGCTTAGAAGATGATTCCATGTTTAAACAATTAAGTCGTTTAGGGAAAATGTCAGCTCAACCCAGCTTATTGAGATAATTCTCTGCATTAAAATATGAGAAGCATAATGTTCTACAAATGCTGTCAATGGGCGAGTTCATTGGATGTATCCTGTTAAAGACATTTGTTTTAGGATCAACTTATTTCTTCAAAAAATGTAAATTTCTTGGAATGACCATAGTCCCTCGGAGAGAACTTACAGCCATCGGTCCTCTAGTTGCTTACTAACAAGCATACACATGCTTTCTTAGCAGTCAGTTAAAATAAACCATCAAACCAAACCATTGACTGTAGGTTATTTCTTACTAATTACTAGGTAGTGGTCATATCAAGAGATTTTTTTATTTTGTTGATGAAATAATAATAATAATAATAATAATAATAATAATAAATAAATGAATATAAGACATGTCAGAACACGTTGCACAAAATCACCTTGATAATTGTCTGAACTGTCTCCCATTGATACCCCCAGCTGATGCAATAGTGAACCTTGATGAGGTCCTCGTCCTACACAAGCACATCGCCATGCCTTACGTTGTCTACAAGCAACAGCCCCATCTAGAGACAAATGAAGAAAATGTGCGAGAATACGCTCAGATGGCTGGCAAGGAGTGTGTAGGTCGGATGCTGCTCTACAGAAGCTAAACCAGTACAGTTCTCACATCATATCACATTATATATATGCAAAGCTTGTATGCTCAGAAGATTGTCGCCCTTATTCTTTTATATTTTTTATTTATTTATTTATTTTGTTTTATTTCAACAGTAGTTCAAATACTGTTATACTTGGGGCCCTGCATAACATAAAAATAGATATACAGATAAACATATATATATATATATATATATATATATACATGAAAACATCATTACATGGTGAATAGTAAACATGATATACCAGAAAGAATACAGATAAAATTTAAAATGAAACCTAGCAAGCACTGGGCTTGCGTGTAAGCTCATGTTCAATATCTAGTTTAACAAATGAAGATAGTCTGAGGTCTAAGTTTTACTTTGTTAAATGTGATCTTAGATCTAGGGTTAGGTTTATTTTGAATTAGTAGAATATGGATCCAAGAGTTTTACTAGTCTAGATTTTATGAGATGATGGCTGCTGCTTGGTATTTAATATTCTTTGTTCATGTAAGTCCCTAGGGTAAATCATTGATACAGGGTTATTGACTGGGTGTTACCAACTCTCAAACACTCCTGCCAACAGATGTCTTATGTAAGCTGCTTTCCAGCAGCTCAGGGGGGTGTTTCACAAAACTTGTCATCAGTGACAAGTGACAGTTTTTGTTATAAGCTACTGAAATCCTTGCTTCTGATTGGTTATCAGCAGATTTTTCACTGATTTTTGTCATTTGTCATTGAAAAAAGGCTTTGTGAAACGGGTCCCAGGAGTACAGTATCTTTCCGTACCCATCCACTGATGATTCTAGGCATGCTGAAATGTAGATAGCTGCTCATTTATGGGCTCTAGATAGACGGAATGCAAACTGAACTTACGTGCGTCATCACTGGGATCCAACGCACCCTCGTCCTCGTATGCATTCTCTTTAATAAAGATGTTCATGTGTGGGTATATAGTCGTTCGTGAAGTAGGCAACTTGGCAATCACTACATAACACTGAGCCAACAGGTATTACTCTCCCGTGCAAACGTCCGTGTGCTGCCGTCTATATACCACGCATGAGCAAATTTAATATCCTTTGGGATGGTCAAGCCTCCTTCATTTATATTCTTTATCCATTAGCAAAATACACCATTGTATATTAAGTAAACACTTTCCATTTTAATCATTTAAGCATTTCACAGCTAGAAAGATGATCTTTTTCATACCCTCCACACACACCCTCAAATGCAGGCCTGATAATTACCTGATTCCTGATTATTATTATTTTTTTTATTTTTTTTAAACTAATTTTTTGCTCTTCCCGATTTTATCCTAATTTTCCTGATTTTTCCCTTATTTTCTCCATTCTTCCCTATTTTTCCCCAATTTTCTCAATCAAAAAGGGGAATGTAGTTAGATGCCATTTTTTCCCGCGAATCCTCTTCTTCTTTTTTTTACTCAAGGGGGGCGTGGTAGAGAGTGCTCACTATCACCCCTGGATATGTTCAGTCAAATCAATTAATACTTAATAACTTTAGTTTCTTTATGTATTCATTTTTTAATGACATTAGAAATATCATTGAATGTAGGAGATCGACTACTGACTATATTGACATGTGCAATTTCTTTAGTAGGAGAGTTTTAGCCTCTGTCTGATAAAATTTCCCATTTATTAGTCACAGACTGAGGTCTAACTCTAGCTCTAGTCCTGGTTGAGTACTTAGTTGCTACTCCACACGCTTTGAAAAAATTGTAAGCGAGAGAGAGACAGACAGACAGACAGAAAAAAACATAAGAATATAGTTTTACATCCATTTAGAAAACCACTATATATCAAAATCAATGTTTAACTCTTGGATTTCTTAAAGTCTGGTCAGGATTTTGAATATTCATGTATGAATTTGTGTACATTATGTCACTTTTACAACTTTCTATTCAATATTAAGAAAGATGGTTTCGCAGACACACCCCGCATATGGCACAAAAGCACTGCACAAAGTACGAAGATACTCTATTTAAGAGGCCGGTACTCAACTAGAAGAAGAAGAATACTTTGAACTCATGTATATACCTAAGGGTTTTTGTCAAATAAATATAGCTGAGTGATTAATATATGCAATCCCTAATATTTACTACTTTTGTTTGTTTGTTTTCTATTGAAAATTGGAATTGTTAAAACAAGGCAAGTTATGTGTCATGATTTTGAAGTGAATAAGCTAGAAATGATCTTAATCGCTGTCTTGATCAAAAACTCTTGCATTGCAGCAGAACCTTATGCTATATAGCTTCATTTAGATATGAGCATTATCATATCGAGGGGTCAGTGACACAAAGACGTACCAGTAACTCCATTTTGGCCAAAAAATGGTTTATGTGTCACTGAGCACTTAAGTCTATGTTTCACTAGCCATTGACTTCAATGGGGTGTTGGGTAGAGTTAAGTCTTTGTGTTTCCTGGAAAGCCCACATATTTCTGAACATTTTGATATCAAATACTCAGTTTGGCAAAATATGGATTTACGTCTTTGAATCACTGAACCCTCAATATCATCATCATCGTACAAGAGAGTTTTTTTTTAAAGCAATTTCTACAAATCAAGTATTTTTATGGTTCTGTTTCTTGATTCAAAACAGCTCCAAGATATGTATTATAATTGTGATGTTGATGGAAAGTTGTAATAAACAAGAAATTTCTTTCTTAAAATGTTGTAGATAAGAATATACATGGTTTTATATAACTTGCCAATTAGTCCTATTGAGTCTTTCATTCTTTCTGTGAACAAGATTTTGTTAACTGATTTCAATTTTGGTTTGTTCAAAATGGAATTCATAAAATGAATTGCATAACTTGCCATTTTTATGCACAAAATTATGACAAAATGGTCTGAACGTTTTCATGTTGTAGACTTCTGCTCCAAATGAATACCGTAAGCATTTTTTTCTCCCTTCGTATGCTTTGTTCATTTAATAACCAATAGTGTTGGTATGATAATTGATTTTGCTGAACTTATAGCAGAATAGAAGTAAATAGTAAAAGTAACATTATAAATATTTGTTTTAAAGACTTTTTATCTGTTTGGAGCCAGAAAGGTATTAACTTTGTATAAAATGATGTGACTTTAATAACACACTTCTTGCTCCAAACAGATGATTTAATTTTTTTTACATATGAAGATTATGTATTTCATTTACATTATGTTGGATGTTTCTACAGAGAACATGGCTCAGACCCATGGTCACTGTAAGCTTCTAACTAATACATCTCAGTTATTGCTATGTCAGGCAGTACTTCTAGCAATGGGATGGAAAGTATTTTGGTTTAATACTGTACAAGTTTGCTCCAAAGGCATTGTTTGTTTCGATTTTTATTGATTATCAAATGATTCATTAAGAATGTACATGGTAAATGGTGTCTTGAAATGGAACTAAATTTCATGTAATTACTTTGAAAAGTAACTCTTTTCTTCACATTACCTGTTCTGGTAAAGCTATCCTCTTCCTCTCTGCAGGTTGTTTAGACCTTCGTCGTAGATGGCGCTATTGCTGATGAAGTATTCAGTGCCATTGATTAGGAGAGGTTGGCCAACCTGGTTCGATACAATATATCATTGAGCAAGCACAAAACAAAACAATATATGCCATGTTGTTACTGAAGCAAAATGGTCAAACTCTTTGTAAAGATGGTTCTATAACTATATATTTTTTTAAATCAGATTGAAGACTTCTTCTACACCTAATGATGTCATATTATCTGGATTGTCCAGTAAGAGTTATGAAAATTTGACCAAGTCTGAAATTTAAAACATAATGCCATGTTTTATATTTCCAAACTGCTAGCAATATTGGCAAAATAAACCTAGAGCAAAGCTGGTATGTAGATGGGAAATCATTTTTTTTTTCAATTTTTTAAAAGATCACAATAAATTACTTCATTTTTGCAAAATAAAAGCAAACTACTTTACAAATCACATTATATATTATTTATGTTTTTGTTTTAGTTGCTATTTGTGATATGTGTTTTTATATTTTATTATCAAAAGAGAGCATGTGTAATCAGATTGACAGACAGATAGGCGTGGATGAATGATTATCAAGTGGAGAGGGTGATGAGACAGGGCGGATAAATTTGGTTTTAAATTTAAAAAAATTAAAATAGTGGGAGCTGGAGAGGGTGAGGGATGGATGATTTAGGAGGGAGTGGAAATTGAATAACAAAAGAGAACTCTGAAAGGGGAGAAGATATAAGAGGGAGGGAGAGATGGAAGCAAATGATTATACAGTGAAAGAAGTGGTGCTGAGACCAAACATGAAAAAAAAGGTATGAATCCAGTGTACAAGAGAGACTCGGTAGCTTTCAGAAATATCACTGTTCCTCAAAAGCACTATGTTCTTGAACGGATAAGACGAGGTAATCTTTTCAGTTTGAAAGAAGTTTTGGCAATAAATCTGTTTGATTCTTAAATGTGACGGGGGTTTTCCCGTGATTATTCGATAGTACTGTATTACATTGTACTTGACTGACACTCCTGCTTCCTATTTCCTTATCATTCTTTACATCTGTCTTCTGACCTACCTATTTAAAATAAATTTCGTCTTAGTCTTCTTCATTTTGTTTTGTTCATCATCATTTTCATTTTATTCTTCGTCTCCTTACCATTTTTCTCTCTTTAAAAAAAATACTTCTATCGTCATCATAAATGGTAAACATTTTCTTCATCATTGTTATTATCATCTTCATCATCATGTTGAGTAGGCCTATCACAATACGAAGCAGAACTATCCTTTCATTATCTTCATCCTTGTCCTCCATCTCCTCATCGCCATCTCCAATTTTTACCGCCTTCATCATCATCCTGATCATCATCATCTTCATCATCATCGTCATCATCAATATCATCATCACCACCATCTTCATCCCCATCATCATTACCATCAGCATCACCACCGATCATCATCGCTATCCCATTCCCATTCTCTCTCTGTGGCTGTCGACATCCATAGCTCCCAATAGCGTGTCAGTTGCAACAGCACTGGTCACTCTGTGGTTTTACAGATTGAATCTTCGTCCTAATCCATCCTTTTTTATTGTTCCTCTTTCTCTATCATCCAACCAATCAAGCTCGAATGGAGAACTGAAACCAGGTGACTATCAGCGATAAAACTAATGTTTTGAATGGACAGAATGAAACCGACACCGAAAGGAATAGCCAAATGGT